CCCTTATCAATACCCTAGGGACAGACTCTTATCAACACAGAAAATGCAAGGTGGTGGAGTTCAAGGAAAACCTATAATACTCCCTTAGCTAAACCAAGCAGCATTCTTGTTCTGAATATACTGTAACTTGGGAAAGCTCACTTGGATGTTCTAACAGGGAACCACAGCTACTTATATACAGTCAACCGAAGAATGATCCTTCTCCTTATGGGCAAGGCCATCCTCATCAACTCAGCATGCAACTTCAGGAGAGATGACACAGAACAGTGAGATAGAAGGGGACCTCACCCAGCCAGTCAGATTGTTCTAATCAACCCTGTCAATCACTGGGGCACTAGATGTCTCAGCCAGATTGCCTTCACATTCCCGCGCCATTAACTTGGGTTGTGTCCCTCTGCTGTCTTCACACAAGAAAATTCCACATTATCTCTTGAATGCATTTCCCTTACTTCATCTTCTATCCCCTTGTGAAGTTCTTTTGTGTGAAGGCAGACAACAGACTCAGAAACATAAATGAAGGCCAGAACTTTTTCCCCTTTTCTGCAAAGAGAAAGCTCTCTGTCAGAACTGAAGGCATGATGTTGAAGAACACATGTGGTGGGGACTGAGGGGACTATTCAGAGATCAAGTGGACCTCATGTGTAGATTGATGGCTGCCCTGTGTTCGACACTAGTGGGATAAGAACAGCCATAGCATACAGGTGCTTGTGGCAGATGTTACCAAGCCTTTTCTCCAGGCACTTCCCTTGGGAGTTACAGATGGCTCCAGATGCAAGCCTGTTCTCTTTCTCCATCTCTTTCTCTTTCTCCAACTCTTTCTCTTTCTCTTTCTCTTTCTCTTTCTCCGTCTCTGTCTCTTTCTCTGTCTCTTTTTCTGTCTCTTTCTCTGGCTCTTTCTCTTTCTCTGTCTATCTCTCTGTTTCTCTCTCTCTCTCTCTCTCTCTCTGTTTCTCTGTCTCTGTCTCTGTCTCTCTCGTTCTCTAGGTTTCCATTTCCCTACTTCTTTCAATATCATTAGGAGTATCATTCAAGACAAAAACAAAGAAACTTTCTCAAGATCTCCAGGAGAACAAAGGAAACTCCATGAAAATCTTCCTTTCAACTATGCCTCCTGGGGAGTGACTCTAGTAGTCATGCTTAGACAGAATGTAAACTATAAGTCCTGGGATATGTTATTCCTTGGCCAGAATACTGGAGAGGTCTCTCTGTCTTCTTAGTGCTCTTTCTGCCACTTCCTCCGTTAGTGCAGGAGCAATTTCTAGTAGGAATTGGAATCTTAATGAGACCAGATCACAGGAAAAATGAATACAGACAGCTGGATGTAGTGCTAAGAGGAAACAGCAAGTCAGAACTGCATCTATATCTTTGCCGCTTATTAATTCACCATCTTTCTCTAAGTGTGGGATATTACCTCTAAGTTTTTTCGGCTTAAGCAATGAATTTCCTACTTTCCTCCTCCCAGAGAAGCTCACAGTGTTCTTGTGAGCAACCCTAATCCCCCGAGGTTACCTTTATCTTTCCTTTCTGTTTTAAGTGGATAACTTGCTTTTCTGTCTCCCTTATAGCTTTCCATTTTACTATAAACTTTTCATGCTACTCTTTGCTTTAACACAGGAAGACCGTTAATTCTCTGATCCTAATATCTGGGGCGTAATATCTGAGAGTCTCCTTGAGTTAATCCCCTCAAGAGAATGACCTCCACTAAAGTGCTTCACATCTGCAAATGATCAATCACACCTATGTGCAGTCCTGTACCTCAAGTCCCTCCAGATGTTGTATAAGTATGCTAACAACTCTGCATTAAATGAATCATTTTGACCATCAGTTTATGGCCCTCCATGTTTTTTTTGTTGAGGAAGCCTGGGCGGTGGCTTTTTGCCACTGAAAGTGTTGCTCACCCATATCATGATCTCACAGCTATATAAATTAGAAATTGACTATGAATGCTTCTTTCTCTGTTTATGCTCTACTTTGACTCAGAGGGTGTAAAATTACTTTGAGCAAACTGTCTTACTTAAGAATAATGCTACTCATGCTTAGCATACATCTACACTTTATTTAATTCTTTTCTTTTTCTATTGAATTTCCATGAGATACTCATTTACAAAGTTGTTCATGGTGGGGTTTCAGTCATGCAATGTTACAACACCCTGTCCCTTCATCAGTGTACATTTCCTACCTCCAATGCCCCCAGTTTCCCTCCTGCCACAACTACAACTCTACTGAGCCTTCTGGTACAGCAGACAATTTTACTTTTCTTCTTTCTTCTCTGTCTCTGTCTCTCTCTCCCCTCTGTCTCTGTCTCTCTCTTTTTCTCTTTCTCTCTCCCTCTCTCCCACCCTCCTTTTGGGCATTATTTTTCTCCAGAGTAATCAACTCCAACTATCATTGTCATAGTGGAGTCTACTCTATCCTAACATCCACTCCTTCTTTCTACTCTTATACACACAAATACTCCTGGCAAGCTTATCATCATGAATTAGTCCTCCTGGCCTTTGATTCTACTCTCCATGGGTATTAACCTCATACTATGTGTTTGTTTTATATCCTACAAGTGAGTGCAATTGATACACGTTCTTAAGTGAATATTGTTCTCTAAAGGAAATTACATATTATTTATTTCTCTGTCCTGAGCTTGTATTTAATCTTGTGGGTCACAAAAATCTGTCCTAGGATGTGGGATTAACTGCTTTAGTCCTGACTCTGGAATATTGAATGACATCCCATTTGTTCTCAAGGGAACAACCATCTCCGAATGGAACAGTTATGTGTACCTAGGCGGAGAAGTCAACATGATGAATGACCTGGCACCTGAGTTGCACAGGAGGAAGAGAGCAGCTTGAAACACCTTTAAGAGCATCGAAGAAATAGCTAAGAGGACAAAGAACCTCCGGCTATTGCCACATCTCTTTGATTCCACTGTTCTTCCTGCATTAACATATGCCTCAGAGACCTGGGCCCAACGAAAAGAGGATGAGAACAATATTTGGGTCTCCCAAAGAGGAATTGAAAGAGCTATGCTTGGAGTATCACTATTGCCTCAAGCAGACCCCAGTAACATCTCCTTCGTCCTAGCCCTGAGATTTTTTAAAAAGTGCCATATTCAAGGCTCTTTCAGGTTAAGGAGAATGAGACCCATCATTGTTACTGGTATTTGGCATATTGGTTACACTACGGGGAGTGTGCCAGACTCTGCCGTGTGGGCAGGTTACATACGGTAGCCTGCCAGTTTGTCCAAAGTAGGAATGAGATAATAAGGTGTCTCATGAGATAATAAGATAATTATCATGAGATAATAAGCTTCTGGGACCTGGATTTTATAGTCTCTGAGTCTTGGCCATTGATGGGATTACATGGTGCCAGGGGGCCAGTTGGTGGGTGTGACCCCTGCCTACTGGAGTTTGGAGGATCTGGGTGGAGGATGCTCAGCCTCGATCCGAGCAGGCTTGGAGATCTCAGCCCCAGGACCGGCATGCCTTTGTTCCTCTGCTGGTACCTTCATGCATGTGGAGAGTGGTCTCAGCATGGTGGTGGCTGGTTCTGGAGGTCTTTCGCTGCCGAAGCCCTGGTCAGGGCGGGGAGGGAAACTCAACCCACTCCCTCCAAGGAGCCCGGCGAGGACAGCCAGGCGTGGGGGGGGGGGACTCTTGGAGTATCAATTACTCCAAGGAGACTCTTGGAGTATCAATTTCACTCAAATGAGAGAAAGAATCTATAGTTCTCACTCGGTCGAAGGTCAAGAATCAGGGATGCTGTCTTGTTTGCAAAGGCATCGAAAATCAGATGGGCTGGACACATAATGAGATTTGGAGATGACTGCTGGACTAGAGCCATTACCAACTGGATTCCATGGGACGCTAAAAGAGCAAAAGAGCACGTGGCCACCCACCTACGAGATGGTCAGACCTCTTCATCAAGACCCTGAACGATCAATTTGAGGCTTTTCCTGTTCCTAGAACGAGCAGACGCCATTGGGCTACCCTAGCATGCGACAGGGAAAATGGAGACATTACTGGTGCCTGCTCGAGCAAATCATGAGAAACAGGATGTCAAGTGATCAAGTGTGAGATCAAAAAGCAAGAAACAAATGACACGTTACTGGCACCCGCTCAAGCAATTCAATGAATAACGGGATGTCAAGTGATCAAGTCATCAAGTCCTGACTCTCTTCTCCCAACATTTTCACAAGTCACTGCAAGGCAAATAGACTGGGATTGTTTCAGCATTTTCATGCTCAAAGGAAAGGCTTTTATGTTCTAAGAAGAAATCACTAATGGAATTTATGTATGCAGAGTACTTCTATCATAAAATTAAATCTACTGAATAGAGGTCCAAAGCACACTTTATGGTCTTTTTATCGATTAAATGCTCTCTAAAGTAGTTTCCTTTTATGTGGTACCTACTTTATATCCAATCATTTAATGCAAATATATTAGGGATCTACAAAAGCTTGGCATCATTCTAGGTTATGGCAAACAGTGAAGAAAGCAACCAAAATTTCTACATTCACAGAATTTGAATTTGAATCCTATTCTTTTGAACTTGATAAAAGGATATCAAGGTGACCCGACAAGTCAATGTGGATAACCGGGAGAAGGACGGCGAGTGGGAAAAAAAGAGAGACAAAAGAATGGGAGCAAGACAAGTCTCTGATCATGCTCCAAATTTATTTTTCCCAAGCTATCTTTTTATAATTGATTACAAGAGGAAGTGGGCAAAATGGGGAGTTAACAAAGCATGCAGATTTTCAGTGAATCATGGTGTGAGCCCTCACGGCTGGCTCATGGCAGTTATCTCAGGCATAGCTCAGAAAATTACACAACGTATTTTAACATTTTTCCAAGAAGAAATTAGTTCCCAATTTACAGGTCAGGCTATACTGATTTTTTGGCTCACAGCATAAAGAATCTGTGCTTTTTTCCTGAGATAAACTAGAAATCTTTTATTTACAATTTTTTTTTACATTTGTCCAGGATAAATACACAAACAACAATCTTCACCAATACAGAAATAAGGTTTGATAGGTTCAGAGAAAGAGGCCTTTGGGATAGTGAAGATGTGGGAGACAGTATCCAAATCGTAAAATGAAACAAGTCCGGCCTCGTAGTCCAGGAAAACCCCTATAAAACTAACATCCTTCAGAAAAAGAGGAGTTACGGGTGACGTAAGAGCTACAGAGCCATCATCTCTACAATATCTGATGGCCCAGAATCCAGACTCAGGATCCCGTCTCATGTCATTGTCTCTTGGCACATTTTCCAGACAAACTCCAATATCCCACCAAGATCCTTGTTGAAAATGTATTTTAAAGTAATATTTTCCAGAGGTGAAGGTCTCACATCCAAGGACACAGGGTAAGTCTTTAAACCTAGTAGGAGTGTCCTGTTTCACTTGGGGCCTGCCACCAAACACGGTGTTTACATCCTGGTCCACCTTTAGATTGTTGTGAGCTGTATCTGGATCCAGAGTAAGTGTAACTGCAAAAAATTAATAAATATAAAAAAGAAACCAAATGAACATGGTTACTTCATGCTTAGTACTCAGTTTATTCCACATATTATCAGTCTGTCCTCAAGAGAAAAAAAATTCTTTATGACAACCTTTATAGTCATTTTATGAAACTTCATTGTAAAAAGTAAAAAAAAAAGATCATTATCTGTCACTAAGAATGGTGGGGAGGATTAAAGAGCTAATACATGCTTAGACCTGGGCAGGGCTGTCATTAGGTGGCATGGTACAATATCTGGTAGCAGCAGAAATACACTATGATAGCTCTGACACTCTCCCGTTCTTATTAAATATTATTGCCATCTTTCTCACAGCAGTATAAGTGAAAGACAAGATAAATATATTTGACAGGTTTACTTATTCTCTTATCCAAACTCTTCCCAATTTTTTCCAAATGACACTGACACAGTTTCATTTGAGAAAATGCAGTTAATTCCATACTTGGTTATAGGAGACAAAGGATGTTATCGGGGCCTTAGAACACATTGCTACTCATCGATCTTAAATGTCTGCTCTCTTTAGGTTCTCATGCAGTATAAAGTTTAGTACAAGATGATGTAGCAAGGACAAATATACCAAAAAAGGATCAGAGTATAGTGAAGAAAGAAAGAAATGAATTGGTCATAATGGTCCTACGTAACAGTACAATTTAAAAAATAAAATATGAGTTTGTTCTAGCTAGAGAGTTAAGTCACTTAGTCACCTAATGTGACTTGATTAAACACCGAGTAGATGAACAGTTGGAAATGAGAAATAAAGAATGCAGAAATACTTCTTTCTCCTGTTTTTTTTTTCTTCACCGTACCACTCTCCACCTTTTAATACCTTGTCTTCCTGAACATATGTCTTCTACAAAACTAGCTACCTTCCTTCTACCTGGTTTCATTTTACTTAGCCAATGAGAATGCTGAGGAGAACATTTGAAACTAAGAGGTGGAGTGGCAGTCATAACCATGGAAGCTTCTCCGCAGTGCTCTGAAAGTCTGCACTTCTCTCTCTCAGGTCACACTCTCTCCTGTTCTTCAGATCCCGCTACCAGTAGTTGAGGCCCAGAATGGTGAGAACTTGCTATCTCCACTCTGGTTGCTTCTGTGTTCCTTAGTCATTGTTCAAATCTTTTCTTTAACTCGCTTATTAAACTCTCCTCAATGAGTTCTTAACAGGAGCTGAGTGAACACATTTGGGATTTCGTTTATAATACTTTGAATGGCTAAAAACTAAACCTTGTTTGAAATGACCGTCCAAAATGAAACGAATAAAGAAAACCAAAAAAAAGAGACACAAGAGATAAACAGACACTTTTTCAAAGAAGTCATGCCGATGATCAATAGGCTATGAAAAATGTTCTCCATCACTTACTATCAGGCAAATTGATATCAAAATAGGCAATGAGATATCATCTAACATCAGTGAAACTAGCATATACTTGAAAGAACAAAAAAATTAGTATTTGCAAGAATGTGGAGGAAAGTAAGCTTCATTCACTATTGGTGAAATGTCGTTTGGTTCAAACTGGTTAGAAAATGGACAAATATCAAAAAACAGGAATCAAGCTTGTATATGACACAGACATTACACTTCTGGGTTCACTTAAAAGGATGCATACAACTCACGTTGAAGGTGAGGAGATCTGAATAATAAGAAGCTTTGCCCTCACCGACCTAGCTACTGCATGCGTCATCACCCCAGTTATGGCACAGTGCTCTCACAGTATAGAAGCATTACGTTTTCTTGTACAAATGTAAGAGCAAAACATTGCTTAGAATTCAGAATAGTTTTCTTGTCATAAAGGCAAAGCAATGAATCTATACTCTAAATATGGAGACACATAGAATATTAAGTCAGTGCTCATTTATAGGCACTCTACATTAAACTAAATGGAATAAATAAAGACTGAATACTGTCCAGTGGAGGAATTTAGTTTTGGTCACAGAGGCTGGCAGAATAACAGTGACTTCAATAATGGCCCCTCTGTTGGCAACTTTGTATAATTACTTTCAGGATCAGAGACCAATATGTACAAGCTACATTGAACTTATACAGTAAAAATAATGGCTTTCATGTCTATTATTGTAGCGTATCATGGCAGTGTTAATGCCAATGATTCATCCTAGAGACTCTCACTTTTTGATCTCACTTTGAAGAAACAGCTGATCATGTGGGGAGATCATGCACAAGCATTTGAGAATTTTCTTCAAGAGACACAGGGAGGCATCCAGCCTGCAACCAGCAAAGAGGTAGTGCCTGAGGTCCTACACACTACCAGAACCAAATTCTGACAACAATCACAATGAGCATGGAACAGATTAAGATTATATTATTTTCTAGGTGAAAACACCGCCCATCCATCATAATTATTGCAACTTTGTTAAACTCCATTTTGAGAATTCCTCTGAGCTGTGGTCATTTTAGGGGGAGTTATGATCTGTTGTGTTCTTCTAATTTGGGTGTGGGGAGTTAACACCACACCTGGCTGTGCTCAAGACTTACTGGTAACTCTGCACTTAGTGACCAATCCTGGCAGAACTCAGGGACTATATCAGATGCCAGACATCTTCCCAAATCCTTTACTCTATACCTTTTGTAATTTAAACTTTCTCACCTTCCACTGAATGTGATGTATTATTCTTTTGGTTTTTATATAGACAGATATAGAGATTATTTACCTTGGGGACATCACTAGTGAACAGGAGAAAAAGCGATAGAATCACTAAGAAAACCAGTACTCTAGCTAGAACTGCAAAGGGAAGAACAGTTGCCCAATATTCCTCTCCCCTGTCTTATTTTGGGAATTTTGGATGTCACATACCAATATCAGTCTCAAACAATTTGAACAATTGAGAGAAAATGCTATCAAGATGAGGCAAACTGTGAGTATCCAATGAGACATCCTCTGGTGCATTTAACCGCATAGCAGAAATCCTAGAGAAGAAGAGTCCAGAAATTTCATCAGAATAACATTCCATTAGACTCCATATAGCTACTACCCTCCCTCCTGTTTTCAAAGAGCACTCACCTCTCCAAAGTGTTCCTTACATCCTATAGAGCAAGAAAGGTAGATGTTGATATGAAAATATTAGCTTTTCATAGAACTTTAATGGGTGGATATTTCTTTATAATTATATGAAAGAGTAAGTGCAATTGCTCTGTTCCCATGTATTAATGATTTCCCAGGGAATGGTTCTGATCCCAACTTTTTACCACAATGTTCTTCAACATTGGCATACCTGCAGTCCAACACCTTTCTGCATATTATTCCACAGAGTAGCAGTTATAAGCACTGCAATAGACTATTGATATTCAACCTCTCTAACCTTGTTTACGTTCACTAGTACATGTAAAAAGTTTGAGAGGAACACTGGCCCAGTATAATACCATGTCAGTGTCTGATAAAACACAGAGTATGTTTTCTTACTTTTGGAGCATATAGAGTTATTATTGCTATACCCACAAACCTGTGAACTGTTAGCAATAAGATCAGGAATTGTCTCAAACTTATTCATTTAGCATTTTTTACATTCAGTGACTAAATTCTTCTGAAGAGATCATAGTGGACATTGTTTTTCACAAAGGTGCTTACAGGAAAATTCACATAGAGTCCTGGAATGACTCACTAAGTTGTTGAAAGTAGGTTTGCACTGAGGTGGGAGGTCTTGCTGTGCTAACTCCATCCTTTATGAAAATAGAATAAGGTGCTCCACATTGCTATCACAGTGTAGAAGATCTTTACTATAGCTAATATGAGGCCTTATAATATCTGTTTGAGCAAATTACAGAAGTAAGTCAAGGGGCAAGTTTCTCAATCATTTTGGTGAGTCGCTTTTAGCCTCCAAGAGTCAACAGGATTATCTTTGCAGAGATCATTTGACACTAGAAATCTCTGCAAAAATACACTGAGGCTAACAGATTCAACAAAAGTTCTCCTGTGTTTCCCTGAGAAATGACATACCTATCCAAGAGGCCTCCTTTGTGAATTACACAGAGACACTCTACAGACTAGTGAAGAACACCTGTCTAAAGGCATGTGTATCAAAAAGTAAACATTCATTTACTTTCTCCACACTTGTGTGAATTTCTGAGAAAGAAGGAATCTGGCCAGTTCTCCAAATTCCTCACCATTTCCTCTGAAAGCCCAGGGACTGACTCCTTCATGCACTCCTCTACGTGCACAGTCTCACCTGCAGTAAATCCTGGGCTGAGCCCTGACATTTCCTCTCCAGTTCCTGGATGTGTTTGTTCAGTTCCTGGCTTTGCTTCTCCAGCTTGGTTTCACTGTTTTTCAGTCTCTGCAGAACTTGCTCTTCTTCATTCTCCAGTCTCCATAGATATGATTTCTCCTCCATTTCTAGGATCATGTGAAAACCCTTAAAATAATATTTCATGCTTTTTTGTGGTCCATAATTTTAGACTAGAAAACAGAAAGCATAGTCAAGTTACAGGGGAATATTTATCTATAAATAAATAAATAAACAGTGCTTGTTGATAGCATATGAAAGTTTAACTCTCAGGGATTAGGGTTTCTCTACATGTTACTTGGATATTTTATTCTCCCATTACTCATGCCTGTTAAATTGAGGCAAGAAGGAATATCCTCTGTGAGTACAAATTTAAAATTCACACAAAGAGTTCAGGGCATAGGCTAAGAAAGACACCCTCAAAAGCCAATGACCTGTGAGATTTCATTGTGGACATTTGGAGTACATCAATTTTTTCAGAAGAGCACTGAGTTTCTCTTCTGAGCAGTCTGGTCAATCAGAGCAGTAGAACTTAAATGCCGTTGTATATGTTCTTGCCACATTTTCTATTCATCCCCCTGAATTTTTTGAACATAAATCCTACATGCAGAGATACTGTTCCTCAAAATGATTACTTTCTGACCATGGAAAATACATGCCAGACCCTTCATTGTGGTAAACTTCTGAGTGGTACGTATACAGGAAGTTACGTTGAGATCTTTAAACCTCGTAAACAAGTCAAGATGAACCTAAGTAAAGACACCTATTCTTAGTCTTACTGATATTAGAACTCCTTAACAATTCCAGCTGAAGTATCAAAGTAAGAGGAGCTCAATTCTAATAGGTGTAGCCAATGAGGAGAATTAAAACAAATAATTTGGGATAAATCTATTTAGTCTAGATAAATAAGATGAAAGCATCCTTTTGTTTTGCCTAATCGTTCTATATATCTGGGCTTTATGGTGAACATATCTAAAGCAAATAAACTTAAATACTTACCTGAAAATTTGTTATTTGCTCTCTTATGTTTCCTAGCCATTCCTTATTTTTTTCTTCTAGTTTCCTCAGGTGTGTCAAAGATTTCTGAAAGTTTTCCTGAAGTAAAAATTATTTGATGAAGGTTTATTACTTGGGCAATCTTTTATTATATATGTCAGGGGAGATCACAGACTTTCAAACATAAAACAATATTGGAAACTTCAATAGTCCTTATACTTTCAAGGATACATCCTGAGGGATTTGTGTGAAGTGAAAACCTTGATCCCCTATGAGAGAAGTGTCTGCAAAATAGTCAGACTCTTGGGTGGAAGGATCGGAATGCAGCAGGAAGGAGACTAGTGACATTGAACATGGGTGGTGGGAAATGTACAGCAGTGGAAGGGATGAATGTTGGAATGTTATATGACTCAAACTCAACCATGAACTACCTTATAAGTGTATATCTCATGGCTCTTTAATAGATAATATATTTGAAAAATTTCATCTCCTGAACAACCTGATGAATTGGTACAGTTATTAATATCATTTTCAATTTTAGAAACAGGATCTTCATGATACATGGCCTAAAGTATACAGTGATGCATTTGCCTGGTGAACACTAAAAAGAAAAAGAATATCATAATGTATGATAATATTTTCTATAGTAGCACTGTCCTCCTATTGTTCATCAATTTTGCTCGAGCGGGCACTAGTAACATCTCACAACAAATTGTGAGACTTGTTGTTACTGTTTTTGGCATACTGAATATGTCACGGGAGCTTGCCAGGCTTTTGCCGTGCGGGTGAGATATTCTCGGTAGCTTGCTGGGATCTTTGAGAGGAGTATTGTATTAAATCTAAAGACCAATAACAGATTACTTACACCTTAACATTTTTTATATATTCGTATGTGTAAATAAGAGTAGGTCAGCAGTGAGCCCTGAGCATCTCTGGGTTTGGTCCCTAAAACCCAACTCAATAGAAGAGTCAAATGAATGTCAATAAGACAGTCCACATGCTTTGATGAGGATTCTCAGTTTGAACTCCAGAGCCATATTTTCTCTGAGTGCCAACAGATATGATTCTGATATTCCTGAACATGGCCAGGTATGGATCCAGTGACTGAAGCACTACAGTGCCATATAACTGAACATTCAGGTCTCAGGCCTTGTATCACATGGAGTGGCCCCTGGATCATGGGTCACTACTAGGTAAACACTCTTGGAAAAAATAAAGAGGTAGAGATGAGTTATAATATCTAATGAAAAATTCATCATGCAAGCAATTTTAAATTATGTAGTATGAATATCAAACTTTTAAAATATTTTTCAAAAAACTTTCTTGGAGAGCCTGGCAAACTACCGAGAGTGTCTTGCCCGCACAGCAGAGCCTGGCAAGCTACCCGTGACGTATTTGCTAAGCCAAACACAGTAACAACAAAGTCTCCAATGGAGATGTTACTGGGCCCGCTTGAGCAAGTCGATGAACAATGGGAGGACAGTGACAGTGACAGTGACATTTGAGGAGAACAATTTTATGGTTTACCAACTTTTTAGTGTTAAAAGTAGCACAGCGAGTAGGGCGTTTGCCTTGCACACAGCCAACATGGCCAACACAGGTTCGACTCCCAGCATCCCATATGGTCCCCCAAGCACCGCCAAGAGCAATTCTTGAGTGCATGAGCCAGGAGTAATCCCTGAGCATCACCGGGTGTGACCCAAAGAGCAAAAAAAAAAAAAAAAAACAAAGTAGTAATCAATTATCTTCTTACTCTATATGTCAGTATCTTACTTTGTCTGAATATATAGGTATAACTATCAGTTATTCAGTGCAATCAAGAGCTTTATGAAAGTTTTTCATAAAACACTGTTGTTTTTCCATGGCCTAGTAATATATATGTGTATATTTGATAGACGCCATTGGAAATTTTATATAAAGATTAAAGCGGTGAAAGATTTATCTACATCGTGGGTTTCAGAGTAAATTATTCAGATCCGTGATTGCAAAAAGAGAAACGGTTACTTGGTGAAGCACTCTGGGCAGTACTCACCTTGTAGCCTTGACAAGCATCAGCAGCAAGGACTGTTCTGTGCCCTTTGTGCTGTGTTGACCGCTCACAACACCAGCAGATGAGCTGACCATCATCTTCACAAAACAGGTTGAGCTTCTCTCCGTGTTCTTCACACAGATTTTCCTGCTCCATCTTCTTAATGATGTCTATGAGGTTTCTTAGCTGCTTACTGGGCCGGATGTTCTTCCTTTCAAACTGTGCCCTACATACAGGACACTGGAAGTTTCCCACTGACGGTGACTGTTGTTGCTGGTTCTCAAGATTTTTCATTATGCAGGAATGGCAGTAGATGTGTCCACACTCTATCATCACTGGCTCAGTCATTAGCTCCAGGCAGATGGGGCAGGTGGCTTCCTCCCTCATGTCCTCAACTGCACCTGAGGCCATGGTTTTTCCTGGAAATCTTTAATACTGAAAATAAAGGTAGAGCTCAAACAGATGAGATTTTTCTTTATGTGATGGAATATATGTCACCTGTGTTTGAGGGAACTGAAGCCTTCAGAGGATGAACTGGATGTGGAATACAGTAGTACTATACCGAGTGTTTAGATAAAATTTTATATATTTAAATTTAGTATCTAATTTTAATGAGACACATTTCATTTGTTCGTTGCTATAGGTGCTGGTGTAAATGGGAGTTAAGGAAGAGAACAGACTATAACTTACAGAAATGATTTTGGATTCAAATCTGAGAGGGAAAACCCAGAAGTTATTCCTCACACAAATAGCACATGAACAGAAAGGATATTTGGAAGCTTTTAAAATAGTTTATCCATGACGTAATCATCACCAATACTTTGTTTCTTGCTTGTAACTACAGAAGCAACACTTAGGAATTAGGGCTGTTAATGAAGCAGATTCAGTAGATTCATATTTGACTAATGAAAATCCTTCTCTGTATTGTATCTACCCCTACCTCCAAAGAACAACAATATCAGTTCAATGAAGCCAGGCAGATCCCACTAGAGAGACAATGTAAACTAATAGCTAACTGACATATCCGTTCTGTCATCCTTCCTGATTTGAGGAAGAGAAAACTGTTCTAAGGGAAGGAAAAGAGTAGGTCCTAGATCAGAGCTTCTGAAGATCCAGAGAAAATACACCTTCAGTTGGAAGACTCCCTAAGAAGATCTTATAATCAAATGACTCAAGCGATGTCTGAATAAGTGGAAGAAAGAAATTTTCCTTGTCAAGAATGATTCCTAAACGCAGAGCCAGAAATAAAGCCCTAGTATCAAAGAGAAAAAAAATCAAAATTAAAAAGTCACTGGCAATTTAATGAAATCACCAGAAGTTTAAAATTGTTCCTTTATGACAATTTCTGACGACTCTTAAGTGGACATAGAACTTCAGGCCAAGGCACTGTGGAGAATATCCACATATAACCTCTTCTAAAAGACCTTCAGCAAGGTTCTTGCTTGTTTGGAGAAGCTCACAATCTCTTTTCAACATGTTACCCTTTCTTTATCTTCCCTTATACTTAAATTACTCTATGTTTAAAAAAGAAATCTTGGTATAGCCTCTAGAGACATGTCAAGAAAATCATTCATTATTACTAATTGGGTCTATCACTGAGAAAGAATGATGTTTGGCATACACAAATCATAAATGCAATATACCACTTCACTAAACTTGTTTAAAACATGAGCAAACTGCCTGTTTAAATGCTTCTCAAAGAAATAAGACCCAATAGTTTACAAAAATGGTTAAAAGCCTCTGTAAATACTTCACAAAGACACAATTTCCCATACATGTAAAACTCTACACGTCATTTATTACTAAAGAAGTTAAAATTCAAATAATCATATATGACATGTCCCAGAGAAAAAGGTCTTTTTCTGATACATAATTTTAGGTTTGAAAATGACAATTATATACAGAACCTTAGTGTTTTTTTTAACTTACTGATTTATACAATAGCATCAAAAGCAGCTTTTCTATGATGCTAGATTAGCAATTTAGTCAGGGACTTGGCATTTGCCCCTCAAAGGCCCAGGCGTCCTCTCAGACCCTGAAACAAAAGCGACCTGAGCCCCGTTCTGTCTGACTGCTCCCAACGCTGCTCCGCCAGTCTCCTCCCCATCCAGTCTTTACACCCCAGACACACACCAGGTACCGGTGGGGGAGTGGCCACTTTGGAGGTGGGTGTGGCTTTTAGAAGTGGGCGTGGCTTTCTAGAAGTGAGCGTGGCCTATTTTCAGCTGGCCAACCCTCACGCATCTCCAAGTAGTTTACTCATACCAAGAAATCTACTCCCTACACTGACACACCAACATGAAGAAACAATGCAAATCCCCGCCGCAGGGAGAGGACTAGGAAACGAGCCCAGAAGCCTCAGTAAGTGCTAGACACCTAAGGGACCTCTCTGACAAAGAATTCAGATATGAAGTCATCAAGATATTCAATCAACTCAATGAAACAGTCAGACAGATATACAGTAACTTGAAAGAGAACATGAAAGAAACAATCGATAGCACAATTGACAAAATACAGGAAGAAATGAGAGCAGAATTTGGAAAGCTACACATAGAAATGGCACAAATCAAAATTCCATAGATGAAATCAAAAACTCAGTCTGTGCCCTCAAAAATAGAATGACCACAGCAGAAGAAAGAAAAAGTGAACTGGAGGATCAGCTGCACCAAGCCAGCAGGCAACAACAAACTGTGGAAAAGGACCTCAAAATAGAGAATCAGAGTCCTAGGAGACGATTCCAAAGGAAACAACATTAGAATCATTGGACTACCAGAAGCTTAGGGAAACAATCCCAATGAAAAAACCATGGTTAAACAAATCATCGCTGAGAAATTCCCAGAGCTCCACAATACAGCCATTCAGATTCAAGGCGCCCAAAGGGTGCCAGCTAAAATAGACCCTAAGAAAAACACTCCAAGACATATTATAGTTAGAATAATTGATGCTGCTGATAGAGACACAATACTGCAAGCAGCAAGGGCAAACAAGGAAATCACATACAAAGGGTCACCCCTTAGATTCACAGCAGACCTATCAGAGGAAACCCTCCAAGCCCGAAGGCAGTGGCGAGATATAGTAAAAAAATTCACTGAAATTAATGCTTCACCAAGAATACTCTATCCAGCTAAACTCTCACTCAAAATCAAAGGAATTGTACACTATTTTCTAGATAAACAGCAGCTCAGGAACTTCATAGACTCAAAACCAAACCTAAAACAAGGGCTAATGTGGCTACTATAAGACAAGACAAACCCTACAACCACATCACACCCTTACAGAAAGATGACACAAAACCCCATAAAAATAATCTCTCTCAATGTCAACGGTCTAAATTCACCATTTAAGAGACACAGAGTGGCAAAATGGATACAGAGACAGAACCCAACATTCTGCTCCTACAAGAAACTCATCTCAACAATCAAAGCAAACACAGACTCAAAATCAAAGGATGGAAAAACAATCCTGCAAGCAAAAGCTCCTTCAAAAAAGTTGGGGTGTCCATACAAGTATCCGACAGCATTAATTTCACCTTGAAAAAGATTAGAAGGGACAGCGAAGGGTATTTTCTCTTCATCAAGGGATACGTACAACAGGAAGAAATCACACACTTAAATGTATATGCACCTAATGAGGAAACAGCTAAATATTTAAAGGAACTGCTAACAAATTTTAAGGAGGACGTTGCTAGAAACACAATAGTACTTGGAGACTTCAACATTGCCTTATCACCTCTGGATAGATCAACAAGAACAAAACCTAGCAAAGAATCATTGGCTTTGAAAAAAAAATAGAAGAGAAGGGCCTTATAGACCTATACAGGACTTTACCCCCCTCCCCCAGAAAAGAATACACATTCTTCTCCAGTGCACACGGAACATTTTCCAAAATAGACCATGTGCTAGGACACAAAACATACCTCAACAGAATCAGGAAGATAGAAATAGTATCAACCATCTTTTCAGACCATGATGCACTGAGAATAGAAGTGAATCAAACACAGAAATGGAGAACCAAATTAAACACATGGAAATTAAACAACTCGATGCTGAACAACGAGTGGGTAAAAAACGAAGTCAAGGACAAAATCAAAAGATACCTGGAAACAAATGAGAATGAAGACACGAGCTACCAGAACCTATGGGATGCAGCGAAAGCCGTATTAAGGGGAGAATTTATAGCTCAGCAAGCATATCTTAGAGCTGTAGAAAGGATGCACATAAACAACTTGACCTCACAGCTCAAGAACTTAGAAAAGGATCAACAGAAAGAGCCTCAATCAGGTAGAAGGAAAGAGATAATAAAACTATGAGCAGAAATCAATGACATGGAAACCAAAGAAACAATCCAAAAGATCAATGAAACCATGAGCTGGTGCTACAAAAAAATAAACAAGATAGATAAACCACTAGCAACACTCACAAAGAAACAGAGAGAGAGAGAAGCCTAATAAACCGAATCAGAAATGAGAAGGGGGATATCACAACAGAAACCAAAGAAATTCAAAAGATCATCAGAGACTACTTTGAAAGTCTATATGCCACATAACAAGAGAGCCTAGAAGAAATGGATAAATTCCTGGACTCCTATAATCGCCCAAAGCTGAATCAAGAGGATCTAGAGTATCTGAATAGACCTATTAACATCAACAAAATTGAAAATGTAATCAAAAGTCTTCCGTAAAAATAAAGCCCAAGTCCAGATGGATTCACTAGCAAATTTTTCCAAACATTTAAAGAGGATCTACTGCCAGTCCTTCTCAAGCTTTTCCAGGAAATTGAAAAAACGGGAATTCTCCCAAATAGTTTCTATGAAGCCCATATCTCTCTAATACCAAAAGGAAACATAGGCACCACGAGAAAAGAAAACTACAGGCCGATTTCCCTGATGAACACGAATGCGAAGATTCTCAACAAAATACTAGCAAACAGAATTCAACTGCTCATCAAAAAGATCATACACCATTCACCCCAGGGATGCAAGGCTGGTTTAACACTCAGAAATCAATCAACATAATACATCATATCAACAAAAGAAAAGACAAAAAGCACATGATCATACCAATAGATGAGAGAAAGCATTTGACAAGATCCAGCACCCGTTTATGATGAAAACCCTCGCCAAATTGGGGATAGAGGGGACTTTCCTCAATATAGTCAAAGCCATCTATCACAAGCCTACAGCAAGCATCATCCTCAATGGGGAAAAAGTGAGAGCCTTCCCTCTAAGATCAGGGAAGAGAAAAGGATGCCCACTCTCTCCACTGATGTTCAATATAGTACTGAAAGTACTTGCAGTAGCGATTAGGCAAGAAAAAGATATTAAGGGCATCCAGGAAGGAAAGGAAGAAATCAAGCTCTCACAATTCGAAGATGATATGATACTATACTTAGAAAACCCTAAAACCTCTACCA